ATTAATGATTAATCAATTAATGGTATGAATAAAAGGTTGTAAGAAAGGATCATGAGCCATGAGTTGGGCTTGGGCATGAGATTACTCAAATAAAACAGAATGATATTCCATGAAATGTTAAATACATCTAAGAATGTATTAAGGAAAGATTTACTTATTAATAGTATTAATAAGTGTATTTAATATGTTTTAATTTGGACAGAAAATGATTATAAATTATGTGTGATGATTTGGACGTCCAAAATAATATTTTTGGACTAAGAATGACTTGTTGCATAAGCGTATAAAATTTCGTGGAAATCGGACCCCGTTTGGATGGTCAAACGGGCATTGACCAAAATGTTGACCGGTTGCCCAGGGGTTAACCGGCGCCGGTTATAGGCAAAACCGGCGCCGGTTATGGTTCGGTTTACTCAAGAAAATCAGTAAACCGGCGCCGGTTATGGGTAAAACCGGCGCCGGTTATGTATCGGCTTTCAGGACTGATTTTTGTTAAAAACCCAAATCGGACTCGGTTCGACGTGGGATTAATTCTGGCCATCCTATATATGAATATTTTGCATGGAATTGCATGAAATATGATGTTTAAAATGATAAGGCTTGGAATACGTTTTAAACGCTAAGACTTGGACTAGTCGTTAGTAAAGAAATTATAGACCACGACCAGGCGAGGTACGTGGTGGATTATACATGGCGAGTAAGTACTCGGGACCAAGTAATGTTATATAATACTGTATATGACCAGGAGGAGTCCTCTACACTCAAACGTTAACAAGGGCCCGTGCAGTCCTTGAGGTGTGTTTAACCTCCATCAAATTGCATATAGGTAACAAGGGCAAATGCAGTCCTTGAGGTGTGTTAACCTCCACCAAAGTGCATATAGGTAACAAGGGCAAATGCAGTCCTTGAGGTGTGTTCAACCTCCATCAAATTGCATATAGGTAACAAGGGCAAATGCAGTCCTTGAGGTGTGTTTAACCTCCATCAAATTGCATATAGGTAACAAGGGCAAATGCAGTCCTTGAGGTGTGTTTAACCTCCATTAAATTGCATATAGGTAACAAGGGCAAATGCAGTCCTTGAGGTGTGTTTAACCTCCATCAAATTGCATATAGGTAACAAGGGCAAATGCAGTCCTTGAGGTGTGTTAACCTCCATCAAAGTGCATATAGGTAACAAGGACAAGTGTAGTCCTTGAGGTGTGTTAACCTCCAGTAAATTACACATAGGATGAGGGGGTATGCGTACTCCTCAAGGCGGGGTTAACCCGGGAATGAAAACTGTGATAGCAAGGACGGATAGTCCTCGAGGTAGGTGAACCTCGAAGTAATGATTTTAAATGATTAAACGTGCTTGATCGGGAACGAGTTTCCGGTATAATATTTTCCTTGGTCTAGGAATTGATTTAAACCATGTCCGTGATATGGGAGTCCAAAGGGCCCCACAGTAATTTTATTTTGGCATCGAGTGAGTTAGCCTGCGGGTGACTCCACTCGAGGGTAAGACATGGGAAGGGTGAATTTAATGAGGCTGTTACGCCTAAATGATTTGAAAGACAAATGGGCCCACGGGCCAGATATTTTACTCATATGTATATATGTATACATTTTGTTTTGAAAAGGGGTAGCTAAGAGTTATGCCCATAATTATACTATCACCCTATTTTGAGGGTCTCACGTGAGAAACGTTAGTTACATTACATACAGTTTGCCCTCACCAGTACTTTTCTGTAGTACTGATCCCTCGGGGGAACCACCCTTTCAGGTTGAAGCTAGAGCTTACTTCCTGCACCCGTTGCTCGGGAGATCGATGGAGAGAAGACGTGGTTCGTGCTTCCTCTCGTTCTATTTTTAAATAATTAAATAATGCTCATGGAACTATTTTGACTTATAAATTAATGGAGCCTGCGAGCTCTTGTTTTACCCTTGTGTGGGTTCTTATTAAACACTCATATTCCGCTACGTGTTTGATTGTATGTTGATGTTGTTATGTATGTTTACTAATCGGTTTTGGCATATGTATCTATCGGACGTCTTGTGCAATTCGGTAAGGATGAACTGCGGTTATTCTTATTGGGTTGTACGACGGTTGTCCACGTGGCACAGACGCGGTCTGGGCGTGACAATTAAGTGGTATCAGAGCCAAACGATTTCTAAACTATATAGTCAACCTCTCAACAGAGTTTCTATCAAAACAGTTTTCAATGAAAAACCATGAGCATAAGTTTTGTACTTTAAGAGCATTTGGTTATCGAGTTGCAAGGTCTCTGGTTGTTAAGATGGGCCCCTTAACAATTGGTATGGCAGTGACTTGAGCCAAGTGGTGTCTTGAGTACGTTTCTGTCAATTGACATTCAAACGAGTCCAAAGACTCATTCCAACATATTCTTTCAGGAATGGGTGGTAGTGATAGGGCGGTTCGAGGAAATCCGAGAGGGCGCGGACCGGGGATAGCCGGGCAAGCCAATCGGGGGATATCAAGGTCGCGTAAAAGGCGAGGTATGGGCAACCAAGGCCCACAAACACGAGCTGCGATGGCTGATCACAATGTGACTGAATTCGAGTCGTGGAACTCGGAGGATGACTCAACTTATCAGCCTGAAAGTGAGTCTGAAGAAACTTCTTTTGAAGGAAACGATGGAGAGGATATGCACAGTATTCCTCCTGATCAGATTAGTGAGATGTACCGATGGTACCAGCGGGAAAGGGAAAGGCAACGACAGAGATCCCAGGTGGGACATGTCAGAGACGACACCTCTCGCAGGAGGGGTCGGGGTGCTCATAGAGTACAGGTTAAGACAATTAGAGATTCTGATGGTGAAGGACCATTCATTAAGATCTCAAAGTACCTCAAAGAGGCTAGGGCCTTGGGGTGCAAACCGTTTGATGGGACGGGGGACATATCGGAAGCAGCCGAGTGGATAAAAAGGTTAAATGATGCAGCTGATGACATGCAGGTGGTCCCTGAACGAAAGTTAAGGGTAGCCACTAGATTATTGGAGGGTTTAGCTTCTACTTGGTGGGAGGGCACCAAGGGTAAGTTTGACGGGGTTGTCACGTGGGACAACTTCGAGCAAGCATTTTATGAGCAGTTTTACACCTCTTTCGAAGTAAATCGAAAGAGGAGGGAATATATCGATCTCAAACAGGGAAATGAGTTTACGGTGAAGCAACTGGAACAAAGATTCCGACATCTGGCAAGGTTCTTGCCTGAGTATGCCGCAAATGAGAACCGAATGGCAAACCATTTTTGGAATGCACTCAATTTGGAAATACGCGAAAGAGCGACCTACCAATTCAACATGACTTTTAGTCAAGTAGTAGCCCAAGGTCTTCAGGGGGAGGAGCTTTGGAAGGAAAGGCAAGAAAGGGATGCAAAGGAAGCACAAGAAAGAGATCAAGTGATGATTCCCCCTCCACGACGAGAGGGAAAATATGAACTTCAGAGCAAGGGGGACTCTAACAAGTTAGTTCCGTTTTTCAGTGAGAGTCAGAACTTGGTAAGTCAAAGCTCAAGCACTCGGGGCACGGGGGCACCCAAATGTGAGAATTGTAGGCGAAGGCACTACGGGAGATGTCGAGAGCCATCTAGATGTTACTTTTGTGGAGAAACAGGCCACATCAAGGTTCTTTGTCCTCAACGTACGCGTGAAGGAACATCAGGAGCTAGAGAAGGGGTCACGGGGGTTGAAAACCCAACTAGGGTTGCCTCAAACATGGTACCTTCTAAAAGTCAATGGCGAACTCGCTCGTAAAGGCCGAGAATGGCGGAAGCCATTTGTTAGGCCCGACCATGGCATAAGGTATTATTAAATTAAACCTTAATTTCCATAAATATTTTTATGTTCAAAATTTTTAGCTTTAGAAAATGAAGGGAGAAGCGTTTCTCAAGGTTAAGACGCTAATTTCGGGGACGAAATTCCTGTAAGGGGGGGTGAACTTGTAACACCGGACCCGAATTTTACCCAGATAAAATTTTTTTTCATAAAGTACTCGGTTAAAGAAGGTAAATCAAGACTAAGAGTAGTCTTGATAAATGAGAAAGTAAAAATTTTGTCTTAAATTAATAAAGGGTTATTAATTTAAACGTGGGACCACACGTGGTATTTCAAGTTTATAAAATATTACTATTTTCCAAAACGATACTATTATGATAGTAGGAATGGGTCGTGGACCCCATTGTTATAAAGATCGACAACTGGACGGCCGAGCGGGCCAGGGCCACTATTCGATAGTGAGGAGTCCTTAATTATCGGACTGTCAATAATTCATAGGACTACGAATTTATAACAGAAGAAATATAAACATTCTAAGAAACCAAAATAATGGGATGAATAATATTGATTAAATTGACATATTAGAGGTGGGTACTTTTGGAGGACCCTACCTTGAAGATATTTTCGTATAAGAATAAACAGATAAGATGTTATTTGTTCATACAGTTCGGGCCACTTAAAAATAAGTGTAACATTTTATTAAAGTGTCACCAAACATGAAACCACATATTATGTAATGAGAAATGACGAGTGAATTTTCGAGGCAACGCGTTCTCATTTTTACTGTTACTTCAACAGTAAAATACACGTTGGGCCCACACGTGGGCGGCGACCATCCGATATTTGAGGACCACATAATATATTCATCTCGGTCTAGATACTATTTATATGATGGTGTAAATTAATGTTGAGCCATAAAGTTGGCCTTTCGATCAAACAAGGTCCCATTATCGGTATAGTTAGTTAATCAGATAACAGCCCGAAATAAATTCCGGGGACCATTAAATTGAAGTTGGGTAATATATATTCATTTTAGAGTCCAATATTAATTGGAAGAATGATATATATTTTACTTAACCCGATAAAATAAAATATAATTAAAACAGTCCGAAAAATACAACTTTCGGGACCAATTGTACACTTTGGGACATAAAGGGATGACCTCCCACATGGGTGGGGGCCACCCCACGACTTATGGTCTCAAATAAGTGAGGAGGACCATGTTGGAGAGCTGGAAATGAATTGAGATGATGGGGGGATTAATCAAGTCATCAAATGAACTTCTCCCCCACACCATTCACACATGAAAGACAACAAGGACATCTCACTCACCCACCCTCCTATTATTTCGGCCCTAGCACCAATTAGGGAGGAAAGGAGTCTCAAAAACATCATCTCCACCAGCTCTACTCGAGCTAAGAACAAGGGGAAAGAAGGAAGCAAGAAGAGAGGAGGCTGCCAACCAGTTCGTACAATTTCAACCCTCGAGATTGTTCACTTCATATCTCACGCATCTCTTATCCAATGAGCTCGAGTAAGGTGTCATTAGATAGGTCTTGAAGAGAGCTTTCATACGAGGTGCTGCACTTAAGGATACGAGGTGTTTACAGCTCAAAAAGGGCAGATAAACACACGAGGTATAAATCTGGATTCTCAAAACAGTTTGTATTTGGTTTCTAGTTATTACCCAAAATTATTTATAAACCCTATTAACGAATAAAGTGGATATCCTACACGATTATAAGTGTAGTATAAGACCTTAATATAGTAATTTAATCATCCAAAGGGTTGGCTAATAACCATGAACGGAGTTATGACCGGAGTAAGACCGGTTCACCGGAAAACACCTTCTCGGAAGGTTTTGATGTTTATACCACTTTTGGTTTATGAAACCTTGTTAGGTCTTTTACCAAGATATTCTAGACTTCTCGAGGAATCTAGGAGTGGCCGGAAAAGTCGCCGGAGCCGCCGGAGTTTTCGCCGGAAAATTCAAAAGTCGCCGGAGTTCGAACAAAGAAGATAAAAGCTTGCTAGCGTCATTTCAAGGTGAGTGGACGACTACGTGTCTTGTAACTCTTGGTTCAAACGTGGGATTACCTAAATAAAATCATAACCATGATTTGAGAAATGATGAAATGGATTAAAATGCATGATTAGTCATGGTGTATATGACTAATGAAAAAATAGATTAATTTATTAATTAATCATTAGTACGTAGTATATATTTCTTAATGCATAAGAGGATATACTTGAACCATGTGTGAGATAAGCTCGAATAATCTAGTAAGTGAATATAAAAGGGTTGTAAAGTTGTGATTATCCATATTTAATATGGATTATGGAAGTATTATATGATTAATAAAAAAAATAGATTAATTTATTAATTAATCATGAGTATATTTTTCTTAAATGAATAAGAACGTATACTTGAACCGTGTATGTGATTAACTAGAGTTATCTAGTAAAGAAATATAAAAAGATATGTGATATGTGATTAGTCATATTAATTATGGATTATGGAAATATGGCATAATTAATGATTAATCAATTAATGGTATGAATAAAAGGTTGTAAGAAAGGATCATGAGCCATGAGTTGGGCTTGGGCATGAGATTACTCAAATAAAACAGAATGATATTCCATGAAATGTTAAATACATCTAAGAATGTATTAAGGAAAGATTTACTTATTAATAGTATTAATAAGTGTATTTAATATGTTTTAATTTGGACAGAAAATGATTATAAATTATGTGTGATGATTTGGACGTCCAAAATAATATTTTTGGACTAAGAATGACTTGTTGCATAAGCGTATAAAATTTCGTGGAAATCGGACCCCGTTTGGATGGTCAAACGGGCATTGACCAAAATGTTGACCGGTTGCCCAGGGGTTAACCGGCGCCGGTTATAGGCAAAACCGGCGCCGGTTATGGTTCGGTTTACTCAAGAAAATCAGTAAACCGGCGCCGGTTATGGGTAAAACCGGCGCCGGTTATGTATCGGCTTTCAGGACTGATTTTTGTTAAAAACCCAAATCGGACTCGGTTCGACGTGGGATTAATTCTGGCCATCCTATATATGAATATTTTGCATGGAATTGCATGAAATATGATGTTTAAAATGATAAGGCTTGGAATACGTTTTAAACGCTAAGACTTGGACTAGTCGTTAGTAAAGAAATTATAGACCACGACCAGGCGAGGTACGTGGTGGATTATACATGGCGAGTAAGTACTCGGGACCAAGTAATGTTATATAATACTGTATATGACCAGGAGGAGTCCTCTACACTCAAACGTTAACAAGGGCCCGTGCAGTCCTTGAGGTGTGTTTAACCTCCATCAAATTGCATATAGGTAACAAGGGCAAATGCAGTCCTTGAGGTGTGTTAACCTCCACCAAAGTGCATATAGGTAACAAGGGCAAATGCAGTCCTTGAGGTGTGTTCAACCTCCATCAAATTGCATATAGGTAACAAGGGCAAATGCAGTCCTTGAGGTGTGTTTAACCTCCATCAAATTGCATATAGGTAACAAGGGCAAATGCAGTCCTTGAGGTGTGTTTAACCTCCATTAAATTGCATATAGGTAACAAGGGCAAATGCAGTCCTTGAGGTGTGTTTAACCTCCATCAAATTGCATATAGGTAACAAGGGCAAATGCAGTCCTTGAGGTGTGTTAACCTCCATCAAAGTGCATATAGGTAACAAGGACAAGTGTAGTCCTTGAGGTGTGTTAACCTCCAGTAAATTACACATAGGATGAGGGGGTATGCGTACTCCTCAAGGCGGGGTTAACCCGGGAATGAAAACTGTGATAGCAAGGACGGATAGTCCTCGAGGTAGGTGAACCTCGAAGTAATGATTTTAAATGATTAAACGTGCTTGATCGGGAACGAGTTTCCGGTATAATATTTTCCTTGGTCTAGGAATTGATTTAAACCATGTCCGTGATATGGGAGTCCAAAGGGCCCCACAGTAATTTTATTTTGGCATCGAGTGAGTTAGCCTGCGGGTGACTCCACTCGAGGGTAAGACATGGGAAGGGTGAATTTAATGAGGCTGTTACGCCTAAATGATTTGAAAGACAAATGGGCCCACGGGCCAGATATTTTACTCATATGTATATATGTATACATTTTGTTTTGAAAAGGGGTAGCTAAGAGTTATGCCCATAATTATACTATCACCCTATTTTGAGGGTCTCACGTGAGAAACGTTAGTTACATTACATACAGTTTGCCCTCACCAGTACTTTTCTGTAGTACTGATCCCTCGGGGGAACCACCCTTTCAGGTTGAAGCTAGAGCTTACTTCCTGCACCCGTTGCTCGGGAGATCGATGGAGAGAAGACGTGGTTCGTGCTTCCTCTCGTTCTATTTTTAAATAATTAAATAATGCTCATGGAACTATTTTGACTTATAAATTAATGGAGCCTGCGAGCTCTTGTTTTACCCTTGTGTGGGTTCTTATTAAACACTCATATTCCGCTACGTGTTTGATTGTATGTTGATGTTGTTATGTATGTTTACTAATCGGTTTTGGCATATGTATCTATCGGACGTCTTGTGCAATTCGGTAAGGATGAACTGCGGTTATTCTTATTGGGTTGTACGACGGTTGTCCACGTGGCACAGACGCGGTCTGGGCGTGACATACTATATTCTCAAAACTGGATTTAAGGAGTGGTTATCATCAGTTGAGAATGCATAAGGATGATGTTCATAAAACAGCTTTCAAAACTCACGAGGGTCATTATGAGTTTGTTGCTATGCCTTTTGGACTAACTAATGCTCCATCATCTTTCCAAGGCCTTATGACTCATATTTTCAAACCATTCTTCAGGAAGTTTGTCTTGGTATTTTTTGATGACATACTCAAATATAGCAGAACCTTAGAAGATCATATGCAGCATTTGGAGACAGTTTTTCAGGTTCTCAAGGATAATACATTTTTCTTCAAGAAAAGTAAATGTGATCTAACGATTACCAAGGTTGAGTATCTGGATCATTTTATTTCTGCCGATGGAGTAAGCACATATCCACATAAAGTTGAAGTTGTTAATAACTGACCTATTCCCAAAAAACTAGAGCATCTAAGAGGGTTTTTAGGTCTTTCTGGCTATTACAGAAGGTTTATTAAGGGCTATGGTCAAGTGGAAAAACCCTTAACAGATCTTTTAAGGAAGGAGAGGTTTGTTTGGAATGAAGAAGAAACAATAACATTTGAACATTTGAAGAAGCTATTATGTAATGCACCAGTATTAGCTCTTCCAGATTTGACAAAACATTTGTCATTGAGATAGGTGCTTCTAGCTATGGTATGTGAGCAGTGCTTGTGCAGGAAGAACATCCTATTGCATTTCTCAGCAAAGGATTTGGTCCTAAAAATCAAGCCAAGTCAGCAAACGAGAGAGAACTAATGGCAGCGGTATTTGCAATTCAGAAATGGAGTCCATATCTTCTCAATAAGCATTTCATCATTAAGACTGATCAAAAGAGTCTTAATTACCTATTAGAACAAAGTATCATTAATCCTTGTCAACAAGATTGGATGTTTGCTGAAGAATTTATCAAAAAATATCCATTGTTTCAGCTTTGAGGACAAAGCTGTTTAAGCAGGGGAGTCCTGATGCATTGCATACCAAATTAGTTAACAAAATAAGCGAACTCAGCAAAACTAATATTCTGTTAAGCTTGTTAGTTACACTAGATTTTCACCCGTGCTTCGCACGGGATGCAGTTAGTAAGTAATAAATAATTTGAGAATATAACGAAATGTTGTGAAAAATATAGATCAATGTATATATTGTTTCTATCAAATATAAATGAAGATAAAAAAATTACAAAATATTATATATTTCCTTGTAAACCACATTTAAAGTCTTCTTGGCCGGTTTTCCAGCATCATCACATATAACAAACTTCAATCTAGATGGGGACATTACTCTTGAGACCGTGGCATAAAGTTGTCCATGAGTGAAAACCGAACGACGTAAGAAAACACCAACCCTCTACAAAGATTGTCACTGACTCTTATTAATGGTCATCGCGTAACTAAGCATCAAAGAGAACTGTCTACGCTGAAACGTGAACAGTAGCTTTAGGTCAGATGGAGTCAAGCTAAGCTTCGGAATAAGAATTTTTTCCCTGCATTTGTTCCAGACATCATCTGGGCCTCTAGAATATGGGTTCCAAGTTTAGTGACGATGAGGCGGGTGTCATTACACAATTCAGAGGAATGATCTATATTCCTCATTAGCATCACAGGTGCACCCAGTTTCAGCTTCAGCTCATGACTTGGCACACCAGAGCATTTAATGGTATTGAGAAATTCTGGAGAGTGGATCTCTTGAAGGAGTGCACTGTCTGAGTTAGAAGAAGATGCTGGATCTGAGCTTAAGTATGTTTTTACCTCACCTGGAGTCAATCCTAACATGTAATCATTGATCATGTCGCGCTCATCAATGGTTGGCGCAAGAATTGCCCTGGAATTCAAATAAGAAACATCATTACAGTGCATTTCAAAATCGGGATAGGTGATCTTAACAATAGCTTCAATTGGATCATCTGTCATAGAAGCAATAAATTCTTCAGGGATGTCAACCATTGATTCTCCATCATCACCGTCCCCCAGGATTCTATCTCCAATCTTCAATATCCACTCGACAAAGTTTTGAATCTCTAATGCATAAGATGTTCCTCACACGCGCCCGAGTCTCATATACTTTGTCAACTTCAGCACCCTACAGTATGACCACAAAAATGATGAATTCAGAGATGCTTGCACAATGTCTTGTCTTGTGCCCTTTGGAATGACAGGCAATATTTGCCTAATTCCCCGCCAAATACGACTGTCTTCCCACCAAAGGGCATGGTAGAATTAGAATCACGTGAGTAGCGAAGGACATCTCTCATGCTACGATCAAGTGCTTCAAAGCAATACATGCAGATCATTTTACAACTAATTAAATTATTTTGAATATGATGTAATTTTTGCATTAATTATTAATCAAACATGTACCTGTGTGTCCTCGGCGACTCATCCCAAATGATCAACTTTGTACGTTCGATAAGTCTCGCTAATGGGCTTTCATGCTTTATGTGGCAAGTTGAATCTTCTGTTGCATCCAATGGAATGGCGAATCTGGAGTGTGCGGTCCTTCCTCCTGGTAGAAGCAGTGATGCAATACTGCTAGATGCCACATTGAGTACTATTTGCCCCTTGGACCTGAGCGCCGCAGACAAAGTCCGCCACAAGTATGTTTTTCCACCCGTGCGTTGCACAGGATGAAGTTCATAAACATTGATTTCTTTTGAATGCTATAAAAACGTATTGATAATAAGTTTCATGCTTGATAATTTTTTATGATGACATAAAGATAAAAATTATAAAATGTTGTACCAATCATACATTCATCATAATATATAAAGGCCGTTTGGTAATATTGTTTTTCGGCTTATCAGCCAACTTTTTCACCAAACATGTAACTTTTGTTTTCGCGCGCTGAATTGTGTAATAATACGAAAAAGTAAGGTTGAAGTTAACCAAGCATTCCAGCCCAGCTGGTTGCGAAGTTACCGTGCCTAGCGAGAGGTCTCGAGTTCAAAACCCGCTAGGCACATAGGAGGTTGAAACTCAATGGAGTGAGTTTCAGCCCCTATTACTCCAGGCTCCCCCCAGCCCCCTCCCCCAGACCCCCCTGGAGTAAAAAAAAAAGTAAGGTTGAAGTTACTTTTATGGCTGTATTGATTGAAGTTACTCTAAATGATCATTTTAGCTATTTTCACATATAATTTTTTCTTTATTTTATTAATAAAAGATATTAAAAAAAACTTTTTCTTAAATCTGCAGTATCACCCAATGCAGGCACTGGAGCCAGAACTTTAATGAAATGAAGGATATGTTTAGTTACTTCGAAATTTATCATTTCTTTTCTTCTTGCATCTTATTTTATCTCTTTTAGAACATTTTTTCCTTTGAATTAAGGATATGTAAAAAAATTAAATAATTATATGTTTATTTTTCACAATAAATAATTACAGTGGGTCAAATGTGGATTTTACATGTAGTATTCCTTTTTTTATGTTACAAAAATAATGTAGTATTCCTTTTTCAAATTAAATAAGTTAATAATGGTGGAACATATCAAAAATAAGGAGAGAGAGAGAGAGAGAGAGAGAGAGAGAGAGAGAGAGAGAGAGAGAGAGAGAGAGAGAGAGAGAGAGAGAGAGTAAAATTTTTAAGTGACCTAGATCACCATAGTGGGGAGAAAATGGGATGGGTTTGAGGGGATTAAGTTTTTGGAGAAAAATGATGTGGAAGAAAGAGTAGAGGGTCAAATGGCATTAGCATTATGGATGTTCTTAATGCACAAAACAGAAAGTCGCACACATTTACGAAATAATCAGCACAACTCAAAACCTTGATTAAATCAAAGCCACACCTCTCTTTGTTCTCAATCTCATTAATAAAATACCGGCAAATGCTCCCCGGCATTTGCCCCACTGATTTTGGTGGTTGACCTTCCGGGGTAAAAAAAAAATCAAAGCCACACCTTTACAATTTTACGAATTACAATCAAAATTGAACCCAAGTTTCGTTTAATTTCTAACCAAACCTTTACCGAATAAAGGCATATATTTGAATGAACATAAAAAGCTTGATTCCCGTTTGATGAGTATGATGACATTACAATTGGCTCAATCGACTTATTTGCTAAAACATTGATTAAAGTGGTTCAATTGACTAAATCTACTCTTTTTTTTCTCATGTATTCAAGCAAAGCATTTGTATGAAATGGAGAACAAAATATAAGAGTATCATCACCATCTACCCCTCGCTTCAGAATTGCAGTTCTTGAATTACTTAATAATACAAGAACAACAAGCTTGAAGCATTGATGCAATAATGATAAGAATGATATATTAGGCATTAGCACCAGCAACAATCTCCAAGATTTCACCAGTAATCTTTGACTGGCGCTCTCGGTTATATGATATAGACAGTGTCTTCTTCAAATCATTAGCATTGTCAGTCGCACTGCTCATCGCACTCATCCTGGCAGCCAACTCACTGGCCATTGATTCCTGCAGTGCTCTCAGAATCTGACTGTTCAGATACAGAGGCAACAATGCATCCAGTATCTGAATCGGGTCCTGCTCGAATGCCATGATTGGCGAGAAGTCCGGTGTCTCTCGCCTCCTCACTTCCCTCTCCACCGTGAGTTTCCCCTCTCTCGTCGTCAACCTGAAGAACTCATCCTCTGCTGCATCCACACACTTCCCGTTGATATCGCAGACCTCCCCGATCGGAGAAATTATGAATAAATTATACTTTAAAATATATTTATCAATTCATTTAATTAATTAAATAAATAAAAAGTTTAGTGAAAATGAAATAAAAACAGTCATCTGGAGCAATATTAGTCACTATAACCAGAAAAATAATTCTAGTTTTATATCTTAAAATTTTAATGCTTAGTTAAATTTTAATGCTTAGTTAAAATTCTTGCTAATAAGAATGCTAAGCCGAAAATTTTGGCTAGCAAACAAACCCTTAGCTGGACACCGTTCAAGATGAATTTAGTTTTAGTTAATTTTTCCAAACTGTTGGCCCATTTTTCCATTTATAAAAACCAAAACTCCAAGTAGTGGTTCTGGTCTTACTTTTGAACAATTGAAACCCTCTAAGTACCTTTATCATAAATTTTTTCTGATTTCACTCATTACATATTGGTGCTATGGTTATTTCTTTCATCATAAGCATACTAAGTAGCACAGAATAATAGAATGTTGTATTACAACCCTTTAGGCATTTCTCTTCCAAATTGCGGTGAAACTTCACCTTCAATGCAAAACTTCAAATGGCCTCGGTAAATTCATGGCCCGATGGTGCTAAGCAAATGAGTTAGCCACTATGTAGCTCACATTCAATGGTTGTGAAAAGATCAGTAAAATACTAATCTAGAAAGTGGTGATTATTACTCAAAAAATTAGGGCCAACCTTTTAGGAATTACCTTTGCGAAAGGTTTGCCCTTGACACTGAAATTGAAGTAGCATGATGGTTTTGCGAATATCTCCTTCACAATAATTGACAAATCTCTTTACCAAATACGTGTCAATTTTTGTTCGTTCTCGGGTACAGGCCTACAAAAGTACTATTGAGGACAACCAGATAAAAGGATGAGTAAACTTTGAAAGATCAGATCATCCCGTACTATTATGTGCATTCAGAGTGATGAGTAAACTTTGAAAGATGAGATCATCAGGAATAAAACTTAAATCACATAAACTGCCTTACTGTTGCTAGTTAATATCATTGGACGGTTCGCAGTTTCTGAAAGTTGATGAATGGTAGATATATACCAGTGGTCTTCACAAAGAGCAGTATCAACATCCCCCCAAAAAACTAAGGTTCTAAGGTGCACCATGGCTACTAGTTCTGTCCTTGCAAATAGGTCACTTGGTGTTGCACTACTTGCAATTTGAGAATCTACATCATGTAGTGATGAACCAACCTGGAAGCACATCACAAACGAAGATGGTTGGGTTTGCAACCCCATTAAGGTGACTCAAGCAATTATCACAAGTACATGTCTTAATGGTGTTTCATTCACCCCCACCCCCACCCCCCTCTTCTTTTTCCAATTGATTTTTCCTTCTTAATAGTCACTATTTATGTTAGAGTATTTTTCAGCTTAAAAACAATTATGAGAAGTGAGAACAGAGAAATGCCTCATGTGTGAAATTGAATGAGTAGCTCTCAGATTATAAATTTTAATTTTTCATAACAAATACACTTCAAGAATTTCCTAATAATTCATTACGTTTAAATTGAAGT